GACATAAACAAGCCATTTTTAATAGTGTTTTTCTATTACCTTCTTCTTTGGGGGAGTTTAGGGTGATGGGGAAAGGGGGGAAAGGGAGAGGAGCTGGATAAGAATTTAAAAGGTAAGAGAAAAAATTACTTACCTATAACTGTAGTTTTGAGAGTTTTGCTCCGGCAGATTCACACTCTTGGGATGTGTGTCTCTGCTGCTATGGGCTCGGAACGGGATAAAAAAAAGAGGTGCCTATGGCACATTCAAGTGCCCCCTAACTGATCCAGTTACTGGAAATAATGTTATGACAGCTTCACTTTCTTTCACTAGTTCAAAGAATCCATAGAAAGATTCCAAAGAAGTGGATAAAATTAATCTTCAAAAATAAAAAAAGGAAAAAAGGAATAAAAGCCACAGATATGAATATGTTTGTCTTACTTAAAATATATATATATATTTCTACTCTTTTAAGCTTTAAAAAAATAAAATAGCAGTAGCCTCTCAATGAAATGTTTAGTACTCTAGGATTTCAGGACCAGTCTCACAAAGTTCAGGGAGAAGTACCTTGTTCAAGCAAAAGCAGTACTCCTTAACCTGCTAAGACACGTGCATTACACAGAAGCATTTCTGAAGAGTCTGAAAATCAGAGTGAGTGAAAACTTAGCACAGTGTACAGAGGAGCTCAAAGTTTAGCAAATCTGATTAAAAAGACTAACAAAATCAGAAAAAAAAGTATTGGAAAAAAGATGGATTACATTCTGATTTTTCTGAATCTGGCATTATTTTCAAGGTTAATTTTCTCTTTTCCCCGGTTTAAAATACTCAGAGCTCTTTTTAACATTAACATCTTAAGATCTTTTTATTCACAGTATATAGCATCTTGAGAAAAGCAAGGAAGATCTTGGTAGACATCTCAAACCTGAAAATTAATGTAGCAGCTGGTCTAAATCTTAAAGCATTAGAGGAGCTTAATGTAATACTCTGAGAAAGGTATAGATTCAAAAACAACAAACTAGCTTTAAACTACTTGACTGTACATACCAACAAGCCATTTATAGCTGAACAGGTAGCAAACCAAACAAGCAAAGAACTGAAGTAAGCAAAAATAAAATTCCTCTCTCTCAATTTCCCACCCATGAAAAAAAAAAAAAAAAGAGAGAGAGAGAGAGAGAAGAACAGGAACTCCTGGCAAGTTTCTGAAGTGCTACAGGATTTCCTGTACTTTCTTTGAAGAGTCACGTTCAGACCATGAACAAGGAAGACTCCCCTTAAGGGGACAAACTAGTTTCAAAACATGGAACTTTGCCTGTTTCAGAAGCAATCAAGAGCACCAAGTAGTACTGGAAATGCGACTACAAACAGTGATTAGAAGGGGAAAAAGAAGAAGGAAAAAGGCATGCAGTTTCCTTGCCTCTCTGAAGAAATCAGGTCATTAACCTGTCCCAGTGTACCTAGATTGAAGACAGTCCAATCACTCTTGATTGCTATGGCCAAAACAGAGTCCTGTTTCATATTAGCCCTCGGAATCACCCAAATCACCTGTAAAGCTCTTCACAGATAATCTGAATCTTGATAAATGATAGGTGGATCTATCTCTGAAATTACATAACTTTTCCAAAGAGAAGATACTATCTAACGTTGCTAACGTATCTGATGAAAGCCACTGGGAGGTATCTGGGATGGGTGGCAGGGGGACCCAAAGACAGGAGGCTGTCACATTTCACAGGCCCTTTAATTAACAGATGGAGACAAATTATTTGCAAAATTAATCAATATAAAATGATTTCCTCAATGGAAGGTAGGAAGAGAAGATGGCATCTTGTCCCTTCCACACAGAAACAGAGGGTGAACTTGTAAGCCCTGTATCACGATGAGAAGACCATAGAATCCACCTAATAAAAGATTGCAAAAAATCTTAAGGGATACAATAAGAACAGAGCTCAGAGAAGCTTACATATATGGAGACCAAAGCTCTGCATTAGGAGATGTCTCCTATGCATTTCTGATAGACATTGCAGCAATTCTGCCGGCTTCTGCATCAGCCACTTTTGCGCTGAGAATTATTTTCCCAGGAAGCCAAAGCAGGACACCTGGGTTCCAGAAAGAATGGCTGGGTTTTTTTTTTTAAAGGAGACACTTGTGCAAAACCCTGTTAGTTCCAGCCTGGAAATGGAGATGCCTCCCACTTTGAGAAACTATTTGCTGGAAACTAAACACTCCACCAGTTGTGGTAGTTACAGGAGTCTATAATTTCCAAAGGGCTCCGATCCCCATTTCCACCTGTACCAAGCATTACAGAAGGGCCTTAGCGTTTCCATAGACAAACGCAGCAATTGTGTGATTTTTGGCGAGACCCGCCCCCAGAAAAGGATCTCTGCCTTTCCTCCAGAATAAACACTTCCACCACACTCATGGCTCCAAACCTTAGATAGAAGGTAACATATGCATCCAACATCTTACACTTATAAAAGAAGCATCTAAACACCTCTGATGAAGCATAGTACTGTAAATATTTCATATCTTAAAAAAAAAAAAAAATAGAAAGCACCACTGAATTTGCACCGGAACCCTAGGACACTTTGACTCCAGGTAATTTAGAGAAGATGACAATGGCGCCCACACAGAAGCGATACTGTGAGACTGCAGTGTGCATCTCCGTGCAACATGGACAAAAGGAGCAAAGATGCTTTTGTGCAGAGTTTAATATGTGCTAGAATCTACAATAAGATCCCTCCTGGGATGCTTCATAAGCACTGTGCCAACCAGCCCCAAAAAAACAAACAAACAAAAACCCACCCTTGTGTTGCTGTCTTCATATTCAACTTAGACCAAGTTACAAATCTCACTATTTTCTTAACATACAGTTTAAATTCAGATCACATCATGTCTTAAAATGTACAATGCCATTTTTTTCTATAAGCACAATAAGCAGCTTCTCAAAAATGACTGACGTGTAGGATATATTTCTAATATTGGATATATTTCTAATGGATGTATTTTCATAGGAAGGTGAGAGGACCTGCAATCACACCAGACCAAAGGGCTGGAACAAACGATCACGGAGCAAAGCCAGACTGTATCAACTGCTGAACATGGCACTGACCTGCAAACAATGGCAGAAGAGTTCCTGAAAAATAAGAATCATATTTCTCCCAGGTGGCAGTTTTTCAGGGAATCTGTCCCCAGAGTGCTAAAATCCTTCAACTCTGTTCTTATTCATGAAAGAAATCTTGGCAATCGAACAGAAAGAGCTGCTCTAACACAGAGACAACTTACCACCAGTGAATAAATGACAACTGTTTGTCCAAAAAAGAAGTAACCACTCTGATCCAGAGCAATTACAGGAGCTCATGGAAACCTGAGACCTGACAGAGGATGCAGGCAGGAACAAGGCATAGGCTTGGGATCCATGTTTGGTACCGAGAAGTGGTAAAGTGGAGAGATGACAATACATAAAAAAACACTGCTTTCCCAAAAAGAAACAAATCAACGTCTGCATGCAGCTACATAACTATGCTTGTAAACAAGCTTCACAGCTAAAGTTCATCACTTCATGAAAGTCAGAAGAAAAAAAGAGAAAGGTAAAAAAAAAAGAGGAAGACAACAAGTCTTTCGTAATTCAATTTCAAATTAGTGAAAGAGAGCAAGACAGCAAAACCTCCATTTCATTAAATCAGAAGTAAAGACAAAGTAAGTGGTGATCTCTTTTGACGTAAGCACTCATTTTCTCTCTATATTAACAGTTATGTATTCTGACAAGCCTTAATTAAGTTACTGAATAAGAAATATCTAAAAAGTGCATCTTTCCAGTACTTGCAATACTTGCAATAACAGTCATATGCACATACATGCACACACACACACTTCATACATATATTTAAAATAGAAAATTTTCTTTAAATAAGGAAAAAACTTCTGCCCTCTCTGCTGGTGAAGTGTACATGAAGTGTAAATAAATTAAGTTACATTCAAATCCCACCCAAGCATACCAAAAATTAACTACTTCCAACTAAGACTGTCCAAAATCAGAAATTCCTGCTTCACTTCTGCATGGTTTTCCTCAAAGCATCTAATAAATCAGAATTATCCACGAAAATATTTTCTCTTGGAAGTTAAAAACAGTCTAAAAAAAGCTTTTAAATATTTATGCTAACCTATTACTATCAATTTTATAAAAGAAAAATCTTATTTTCACGATTTATTCAAGAAGGTGGCAGGAAGGACTAAATATACATCTGAGATTTCAATCGGTTAAATCAGTTAACAGCAAATAAAAAAACCTTACTGAGGATAGATTCAATTAGATTAGTTAAGATAACCAGTCTAGCCAGTGAAGTGAAAACACTTCAAGGGCTCACCTGGTTCTATATGAAGGCCCATATTGATATTCAGGAGCAATGTGAAACCTCTAATGCCTACATAACAATGGATATGGAGCTGAGAAAACTTTGAAGCCTGTTAATAGAGCAGTATATATCACCAATACCTTTAAAAGAGCGGATGTGATCTAAAACCTTCATGTTAGGTTCAAACCTTCATGTTAGGATAAGCATAGAAATAGGATAAAAAAATTAAATTCTTTTCTTAAATTAGGCAACATAGGCAGTTAGTTAATAATTCTTTCAACTACCACAACTACAAATTTGGACTAGAAATGTGGCACTGCTGGGATTTCAGAACCATTATAAACAATGGCAATTTTATCTCATTTAGTCTCAAGGTTCTAAATAAGAGTAGTCAGAAAAAAAATTGAACATAAGAACTTCACTTTCATCTCTTAAGACCCCAAATAAATAATATTAAATGTTAAAAATATGCGTATGTGAGAGATTACAGTTCATTGCTGGAGAGGAATGGAGAGAGATGTGGTAAAAAGAACCTATGCTGATTAAACAGACTGGAACTATGTGACAATGACAGGAAGGTTTATATATATATATATATGGATTTTATATGCATATATATATATATATGTTTATATAATATATATAGTGTATACACACACACAATCCTTTTACCTTTATCTTGCACTTCTTTTGAAAACCGCTCCCTTTCAATAGCTGATTCACGTTCTATCCGCTCAATTTCAGCCAATGCATCCAATTCTACTTCATCATATGACGTTATAGTTCCTTGGTGCGAAACCTGTTGCTGTGTCTGTACCACAGGAGTTTGAGGTTGTTTTGCAGCAACTGAAGTGTTCTGTTGTAAAACAGGCACTTGTTGTGCCTGAAGGAAAGCTGTCTGTTCGTGCTGCGGCAAACACTGAGCAGCGTTTAGTGGGCGGGTAACATCCTGTGGAGTAACGGGTGTTTTAGAAGTCTGTCCTGGGTACTGCACATTAAAAGGAATATCACCCTCTGACACACTGCTGTTTTCCAAACCAGAAAGCATATCATCCTGCTGGTCCATATCCGAAGATCTTACACGAGAGAGTCTTAACGTAAGCTTAGTGGAGTCCTTGGAAGGAGAACTAATGATATCATACATTGCAGCTTTTTCAGTCTGGTCTTTTTCATCCTTGCCTAACTTCATTTTCTTTTGTTTCTTTTGCTTTCTTTCTGGAGAATCTAACAATATGTCTGGGGGCACATCTCTAGGTGATGAATAAGGTGGAGGCTGAGACTGTAGGATTAAAGGTGGTCTTGATCCTAGAATAATAATTCAGAAAAACTGAACAGTTATGTTGTTTCAAGTTTATATAAAAACACACTAAAAATAACCTACATAATGTTAAGGTGTATTTGCACATATATCTGTGTCCACAAAAGGTCTAAAAAAAGATCGGTAGGAAGCACATCATTCCCAGATCAAGATGTAATACAGAGAGTTGCACTTGCTTTCCTAGGAATTACAGCAGTCCACAGCAGGTGGAAAAGGGATCATTTCAGAGAAGAAGGAACCAAAACACCCACCACCAAAAAACATTGTACCTGCAGGTTCAGAAGGCTGGCTATTAGGAACTAGTTAATGAAAGCAAGTTGACTACAGAAAAGAGAAAGGATAAAGATCCTTAGAAAGGTCCAGTGATGAAGATTTAATCATCAGTGTACAGTTACTGGCCAGGAAAATATTTATAAATTAAAAAAAAATTAACAAACAAATTTTAGGGAGGGTTTACTACCTAAAAAGGTCTATGAAAAGATGAAATTAGAAAACATTAAACAAATATAATGACCTTATTAATTAAACAAAGAAATTGGCCTTTTCTTTCTTTTGATTCTGACAGATTGGTTTTTTGCTTTGTTTCCATTTTTGGTAAACTGATTCCAACTTCCTCACCCATCATTGTCTACAAAATTTTAATTATCATAAAGAATTAGTCTATCATTCCCCCCACTTACCTCCTCCCTCTCTTAAAATATACTTGCTTCCACTTCTAAATATACTGATTGCAAACTTTGAGTATATTTATAGATTTTTTTTAAAAGAGGACATTTTACACTAAAAACATTCTCCATTCACAAATTTAAAATTTCTGTCTGTTCTGACCAACTCCCCTTATCTCTTGCCCAGAAAAGGCTTTAGAAACAGATGAGCTTTCCCCCTGTCCTGATAATAATTTTGAGCAATAACTTCTGCTTACAATGGAATGACGGTGTGACAAAAGAAATGGAAACATATGCTCCAGCCTGCTCTTGTGTTATTAAATCTAATATTTCTCTGATCCCATTCGCCCATTGGAGGACATTGATTGCCATGAAGCAGTCATTAAAACTATTAACTGGCATGGTGTTTCAGGCCAGTGCTTCTACCACCACCCAAAATTAACTGGAAGGGAAGGTGTGCTTTGGTGAAGAACCACCACTAGGCACGAAAGCAGCTCTGTTCTGCAGCTGAATTTCTAGCTTATACTTTGAGTTGTGCTATGGGCATCATTACGCAATATATTGACCTGCAGGTGAAAGAATGGGTATCTGCAGAAAAGCCTCAGTTAAAATGAAAGGTGTTCTTTCGCCACTGACTTCTTTGCATTGACTCCTATCTTTTATTTTCTCTCTATTTCATTCCAAGAGATGCCCCAAAATCTCTAAATGAAGAGCAGGGTATAAAATTCATTTATTCTACCCAGCTCTCCTTCCTTGAGTGATGACAGCTCCATGTTCTACCAATGACACCTCCAATGTTGGAAATCCCTACGGTTGCTCATCCTGATTCTCAATAACCTTCCACTACTCCATTCCTTACCCCCAGGCTTAATTTAGCTGCACTCAATCACTAGTGCTGAAGTCCTGTAAAATTACTCAGCGCAAACACAATTTTCTGTGTTTCAGATTCTCCAAAGCTATTTGTTTTCTTTCTCCAAATATTAGAGGAAGTTCAAAACTTTCTGCATATCTTACAGACATCTCACTCCCTCGTTCTCAGTTCAAATGAGTATTCCCACAGTTTCAGTGGAACACTTAGCTACTGTTATTCATAACTATATTTTAAATGGAGGACACAAGTTTGATTCTCCCTTGCCCTAAGCTTCAAGCAAATAGGTCCTTATCTTTCTGATTTCATGCAATTTTCTCTTTGTCATGCTAAAAAACAACACTGCAGCAGCAGCACAGCAGGGTTTTTTTAATCTTTAGGTAGATTTGAGGAGGTCAGAAGGATTTCAGCCCATTTCATTGAAAGTACTTGGAATCCAGTAAATGAAGAAACAACAGTACAGTTTTCCTTGTTGTAGGCAGCACTACGACTAGGCTATTTAAGAATATCTTCCTCCTGAAGGAAATTTCTGAACAGTATTGATAGCAGTGCTTGATAGCTGATAGCAGTATTGATAGCTGCATCTTAAGAGGAGATGTTCTGGCAGTAACTGCACGTATTTCTAAGATGCCTAACCATGGTTAAATCCAGAATGAAGCATGCAGAGTACATTTGGGTCCTTTCTCTGTCCAGTTTATTCTAAGCTAAGTTTGACATCTCAGAGCTCTACCTAGCAACAAAATGGTTAACATACCTGGCTACAATACCTAGCAACTGAGGTGGTAAGAAATGGAAAAAGATGAGGTGTTCTGAACAGTTTTATTTTACTAGAGACATTTTAAGTTTTGAACACATACCACATATAGCAAGCCACATCCATCACCTAAAATATCATTGTAAACCAATTTTAGAATATTATTTTAGAATAGAGAAATGGGCAGCTTTTGATTCTAGGTCTTGGGCTGCACTGCAATTCAAGAGAAAAATTTCTGAACTTCTTTGGCTGACCTATAGCATCAGTACAAGACTTCATAAAAACTCTTTGCATGCCAAGAGTACGTAAAGCTCGTGCAAGAAGAGACCTTCCACTGCTCTGGTAAGGTCGCTCTATCATGAGTGAGCAGCAAGTACCAACGGTCATCCAGATAACGCTAAATGTAAACGGCAGCAGAGAACTTCATAGGAGTAAAAGCCCTGTAAAGAACAGTATGGCCAGAAGCAACATTTCCATGACCTTTCAGTTACAGTCTTCCTGACCACCCATGATATTCCTGGGATTGGTTCTTCACAATTCTTAGTTTTCCTTGTGATTCCTCAGGATGGATTGCACTAGGGATTGAAGATATCTCATCAGCTGTGTTAGCAATATGTAAATACCATTTCTTTTTTTCTGCTGTGATTCTGATCTAAACTTTTTAAGACCTTTTATAATGCAAGTAGCTATAAAATATTTTGCTCTGAAAGTGATTGAGCCTTCTCAAAACCATAAAAATTCAATAACAGTATAGAATGAAATGGCTTCATTTGCATGTTTAGACTTGCCACTCACCAGTAACTTCAGTAGCAAACAGGCCTCTTTCTAAGAGATTATACACATCAGTGATATCTAAACCTTGTGTTTTTGTCCATACACTTTTTTACTGTGCCACCGTATTCACACCTCCTCATTTAATCATTCATGACACTTTCTCTGATGCTCTCAGAGCCTCTCAGAGCAAAGACCACTTGCCTTTCAAAGCTGATGCACCAAACTCTCACTGATGGCCACATTCATTTCTGTAATGCACACGCATACAGTAATAACCCAATCATTAAAGTTACCAGCAATCTAAGATTCAGGTATTTCAAAGAATTATTAGCTTTCTACTTGCATAACAACAAAACAAAAAGAAAAAACACAGCCTACTCCAAGAAATATCTTTATATTCCTTTAAATCACTTGCAGGTAAAGGATCCCAGATGTTAAAAAAAAAGAGTCTTTCAACAACTGCTTTTGCCAGAAGAATGGTTTCTTATGCACAAAGGCAAAAGAAAAACTACTAATGAACAAGGACTGTTTTAGAGCACACTGAAGAGAAACACCAGGAACATTCAAGTGCTGTTACATTTTTCAGTTCATACATCCTTGAGACTCCAGGAATATTATTTAAGAGAGTACTAAGACACTGTACTTCAAACCTGGACACTGCATTGCAGAGTTTTTACTCATCAATCTCTAAAGGAGAGAGGCTTTAAGGAATATGTTCCACACAAGAATTGTTAAGACTACATATGTGTGTAGTCAGTAAGGTCTTGAAGGGATGGAGAAAAGACAAGAGTATACATATTGTGTTGAAACTGACATTTGTCATTTTGAAAAAGCTGCGACCCTGGATGTTATAACTTGAACATTTGCAAACAGACCAGGTCCACTGAAGATTCAAAGAAACTGCAATTACAGATGGAAAAATCTCGTAATTTTTTTTATGATCTTACTTAACATTGTAACTTACTTAACAACGTAAGTCAAATGTTTTCTCAGAAATGGGATTCACTCTAGACCTCTAGCTAAACCAAGCTCAGAACTGGTAATAGTAATCTTCAGAAGTTGTGCCTCCAGTAGACTCAAAAAGGGAAAACACAATCTCTTGTGAGAAATCTAGAAGTACTCAGAGAATTTGATGTAATAGTCTGTATGCTTTCAGCATATACTTGAAGAACTATTTATTTTTTAGAACAAATACCATCAAATAAAACTATTTTCATCCGGTAAGACAGTTGGATTGGTGGATTAAAGAGAATGGAGTGGCATACCTGGACTTTATCAAGATTTTCTGTATCATTTCCCACAAAAATCTCATCACTAAGCTGAGGAAATTTGATCTAAGCAAAACATAAGATTGAAGCAAAAGATACTCAAGGAGCATCATAATAAAAATGGCTGAACATACACAAATGCAACTTCCCAGCCTGACAGTATCAAGTATTTTCAACTAACAAAAAGAAAGAGAGCAGTTTTATTAATCTGAAGATGTTATCAAGTTTAGGTGTAAAATGTTTGAGGCCTGCAAGTGCTTTCAAGAACAGAATCAAAATTTACAATTATCTTGACTATTTGAAACAAATAAAATCAGTAAGAATAGGTACCAACTTTCTATCTACCTCAGAAACACCAACTATAACAGCCAAGAAGATAAAAAAAAGTTCTACAGAAAGAGAGTCTTATGTTTATAGCAGCTTGTGAACTGAACCTATGTTACTATTGCCACAAGAGTAACCAAATTTTCACACCTAACAAAATTATTATACAAAGAGATGTCTACAAGTAATTTTCCAACTACTTAAGTATGTAAGACAGCAGCAGCAAAAACATCAAGAAAAATGTGAACCAATGCTGATCAGAGAATTGGATTGAAGAAAAACACGGTAGTGATTTTTTTATATGTAATTTATATTCATGTACATTTATATGTAAAAGATCACTATATTGAAAAAAGGAAAAAAAAGAAAAAAAAAGTGAACTGTTTTTTTCTTGACTATCAGAAATAAGTCAAGAAATGTCAAGCCTAACTACAACAAAAATAACTCAGGCAAAGCAGTCAGGGTAAAAAAAAAAGCTTTCTAGCTCTAAGAAATGAAACAAGTTGCACAGAAACAATAAGAAAACTACATTAGTGCCATTTTAAGAATAATTGAGACACAAGTTATTGGGAATGACAATATCCTGTTGTTGAATAAGCCATGCTAAGAAGATGGGAAGATGACCAAGTCCTTTCCTGCTGCATCTTCTAAGAGGTTTGTATGTTACTCTGCAGATCTCCAATGCTAAAGATGTAAAGGAATTACTACTTATTTTAATGAATGGACTATGTTATATTTTGTTTTGAGAGAGCATCATCATTTCATTTAGAATTTCATCTTGAAAAAAAAAACAGCAAAATAAACAAATTAGAGGGAAAAGAAAAAATACATTTGGCAGTTTCTTGAACAGATTTTGTTTGCTTTTCATACTCTCATTTAATAGATTTCAGGAAAGAATCTCACTATTTTCTCCACAGTTTCAAATGCCTGATCAAAAACTAAGCTGTGGCCACTCTAGCTTGGTATTGTTGTAGTCAAATGCGTCCCTGTGTAAGGACTTGAAGAAAGAAACAAGGGTGGATGTTTATTTTGGCACTATCAGAAAATTTCTCTGGATAAATTTCTCATACCTTTCTTTCAAAAGAGAGGGGGAGTGATGATATTTATTCTTAACTAATATTTGTGAGAATACAAAGTTCCTAATAAAGATTTGAGAAGATTCCTAGTTCTCCTTGCCAGCCACTATGCATTGGAGACCATGTGTACATGAACCTCTCTGGAGAAATCCTACAGATCCATAAGAAAATAAAAATAATCTTTCCAAGTCATTTGGAATATAGTCATGTATCCATGCTATTTTGGAAGATATAAGCCTCTACTGAAAATCTGCATATTTTAAAAATTATTACTATCTCAAATAATTTTGGAAAGGCTCATTGTAATATTTCCTGAGAGAGAAAGATTAACAGTTTCTGGAAGCAAAATAATTCAATTCTGGAAGAAAGTGCAAAATGGCATAATTTAATAAGATGTTTGTCTACATGTTTAAGAAAGTGTTGGCAAGCAAACAACTGTAGTATATAAGCTCTTCACTTTGGCAAGTGTTGGATAAAGAACTATGTGGAAGGCTCCCCTTTATACAACAGATATTCAGAAGTTATCTTCAAAAAGCATTTTGTTAAGATTCTAATGTAGAAAGAGCAGAGCAAATGAATAAAGCATTTCGATGAGTAATCTTGGCTAATTGATTCCACAAAATATCATATATGAAATTAACAGAAAGACAGAAAGAAAATACTCCTTGATAATTCCCTAGAATTTATCTATCACAGCAGAACTGGTAGCAGATGATAGCAGCAATGCAGACACAAATCTGTTTTCACATGTAAAAATACAAAATCTAGATGAAAAAGAAGTGATATAAAACTTTATAAAAGAAGTGATATAAAACCTCAGCTGCTCTGGTATATTTACTGGAGTAATAAAATAATTTTACTATGTTGAATAAGTGAACAACCAATCAAAATAGCAAATATAACTTCTCTCATCTCTTTCAAATATTTTGTCAAATTGACAACAAACTTTTTTCCTCATTCCAATTCAGACCTTCAGACAGCTATTGTTCAGTCTTAGAAAAATTGAAGCATTGCATAATTGAAAGTCCAGAAATTCTTGCTATTTCCATTTAAAAGTACAGAAATGTAGACTGTACTTGAATCTTCCATAACTGCCTCATAATTCTATATAAAGTAAAAAAGCTTAAAAAAATAAACAAATAGCCTTTCTGAGATCTTCTTCTGGAATCATGAACAACTGTGTACTGCCATTCTTTATGACTTTCCAAGCAATGAAATATGTTGTAATTTTCTTTACCGAAGTTTGCAGGCTTGCCAGCCAAGCTTTAATGGGTTAATGGCAGCAGCAAAACAATAAAAACAAAAACGCTTGGCCTTCCTACTTGCTCTTTGTTCATCACGGGAAAATCTATCAGTGCAACCAACCACTTCCATTCCAAATCACAGGCCAAAAACTCACTCTCAGGGATCACAGATTCTAAGTAACATTAAAATTATGCACACTTCTTGAATACAATTCTAAAAACTAAGATTAGAGGAAGTGAATGTCTGTCAAGATTCTTACAGCATCTAGAATTGGTTCTCTCAATTGAGGTTCATTGGTCTCCACTTTAAGAGGGCAAAATGCCAGCATCAGTAGTAACAGAGTATCAGTTTTGTGCTTTATCAACCCAGAGAAGAATAGATCTAACATTCTAACATACAACTATACCAATGAAAAAGCTCCTCTTGCACCTTTTCAGCCTTTGTAATGCCACCTAAAACGTATACCTGCAAAATGGATTCTGGGAGAACCAGTAGCAGCAATTTAACAAAGAAATAAATAAGTTTTTCTTCTGACCAGTAAGCATATCTGAGTGGAAGTAGCATAAATTTACAATACTGTTGAGCTGACAAACTCTGTAAACAGGGATTTTGTGACAATGCACTGAGTTAAACAAAAGACACACAATCTCTGCCATTTATACAAGTCCTAAAAGTCTGCCATTTACACAAATCCAAAAAAACCTCCTAAAATATTGTGTTGGTGGCATGCCATACAATTTCTTCTCACGTTAGCTAACCTCACTGTTTAACACAATATGTAGCTACAGGAGATGAACCACAACAACCAGTCAGCAAACACGTGATCATTGATGATCAGTTAGGAAGGGACCTCAGGAAGTCTCTAGTTCAAACTCCTGCTCAAAGCCTGATGAACTAGGAGGCCACGCACGGCTAGGCAGAGTTTTATTCATTCTGGACTTGAAAGCCTCCAAGCATGAAGACTACTCGGATTCTCTGAGCAACCCCTTCTAATGCTCAGCTGTCCTAATATTGAACTTTTCCCTATAACTAGCCAGAACACGTTTTGGTTCAATTTATGTCTGTTGTCCCTTGCCCTCCCTCTATAAACCGCTGTGAAGAGAGAGTCTGACTGTTTTCTTGATAACCTTCCCATAGGTAGGACATGCTGCTCTGAGGTCCTGCTGCAAAGCCTTCTCCAGGCCAAACAAGCCCAGTGCCCTCACCTGCTTTGCAGGTGATTTTGCCCCTTTCTGGCTCTCCCTCTCCACCTAAACTGACCATCCAAAAACACTTAATTTTATTTCAGTGCTAGACAGAAAAAAGTACTGTTGCACTTTAAAAATATATATATTGCTGTGTTAGTGCATAAGTACTGAAATCCGAAATTACCAAAAATATTTCAAAACCTCTGTTTTTCTATATCTCATGCACCGCACTCATTGTTTTTTAGGAATAATATTATAGGAATAATATTATAATAATATAAATAGCAGCGTGCATTCTAGACTTTATACTAAAGAATTATTTTGAGCAGATTTTTCTGTTCCTTTATTACCTGTCTGATAGTGTACCCTATTCCTTCTCTCCAGCTAAGGTTTTTAGGCTTTGTTATACTAGATATATATTGTACTCACTGAATTCATTTTAATTTCATGCGCTTGAAATTTCATGATTACAGTCAAGCCAAGCGTTCCATGTCAAACACTTTTGAGTTGGTTAAGCATTCAGTACTCGTAATGCTGCCTTTAAACTATTTATTATGCAGAGCAACTGAAACTGTTTTTAGAGTAAAATTTAGTTCTAATATGGGAAAGGATTTACAATCCTTCTGTCCTCCATGAATTTGAGCTTTGAAGCATCACTAGTCAGTTTTGGACATTCAAAAGCTTCTGAAACAGGGCTCAAAATTTTGTAACTGAATGTCTGATGACATACTAGGACATACTCAAGACCTATAAGGATACAGAAGATATGATTTGGAATATAGTCAATAAAACTAAATAAAAAGCTCTTTAAACAATCTGTCTTTTATAGCTGGGAAAAATGCATTGGTATATACAAGTGCTAGACTACCTTTAGGGGTTCCATCACTTCCAGCTGGAGAGCACACTGACTGCGGTGACCTCAAGGAAAAGGATGCAGCATTCCTTATGGAAGGATCACCGTCCTAAAACAACAAAAATAAAAATTAGTATTATGAACAGGAATACTTATAAATGAGCCTGCAACTAGGACACAAATCGAGAAGATGGAACAGAACAAAAATAGTAATAGCAATAATTAAAAAAAAATTATAAAAACATTTATAAAATCTATAGCTGTAATTTTAATACTGTATGTAAATTAATATGCTTGCCCCAACACAGCAAACAATTTTTTTTTCTTTTTTTTCAGTTTTGCATAAGACAATCTGCTTCAAAGACCACCTTCTTCATAACAGAATACTGACTACAATGTAAGGAGAGTCATGCTCAACCTCTAAGAATGCAATTGTGACATTTGTTTTTCCACAATACCCTAAAATGATCTACGTAAACCACTCTTCAATTTCCCTTTAAAGCTCAGCATGTTTTTTTATTGCTTTAATAGAGCCCTCTGCTGGTCAAGAGTAAATTCAATTACAGTCAGGGGACTTAATAGTTTTAAGTCTTCTAAAACACTATTTCCCATTTTTGGCTTTTTTTTTTTCTTTTTATATAGTGTATAGGTTAAAATGAATGTTTTCGAAAAGCACAAAATAACTATTAATATTTATGAAAAGACAATTTCAGTAAGTATCGACAAATCACAAAAAGTCTATCCTTCCAAAGATTAAAGTTACACCAATGATGTTTAAATTACAGGAAGTCTCCAAAGAAGTTTGAATTATTTACTTCCTACTTAATTCTGAATCTTGATTATTACACTACCTTGTATTCCGATGTGCCTTTTACTGAGCTATGTGCACATACAGATCATTCTCATAACATTTTAACATTTTCTGCTACCTTATTTTTTAGCCTGAATGTTTGCCTATGCCCCAATTCTTTGTTTTGAATCTTTTTGGCCAACTTCAAGTGAATCCTGCAGAAGATATTCTTGAAGAGAAGCTTAGGTTTCTACGTGCTTCTATGAGAAGTCAGTATCAGGGTATAAGTGAGAAAGCCAAACTAGTGTTTCGAGGAAGCTGCAGCCTGCTTTATCTTTGAAGAAGCCCTCCACTCATATGCAAAATCCCAAACACTGAGAAAATTCAGCTTAGCAATTTTTTAGCACAGATGCTTTCTTATGATGGGAAAGGTACTACAGCCACGGCTGCCAGGGACAAGGGCAGAGGCACTACCTTTCAACAGGGCAGCCCAACCTGTGCTGCACACATGACATCCCTACTGCAGCTGCCACTTCGGAGAAATTTACTGTCTCCTTAGTTCAGGGCTGAATCAAATGCTGACATGCAAGTTAAAACAAAGTGGGGAAGGCACTCATATGTCTTTCAAAATAAGAGAAGTCCTTAAATTGAGGGTATGTGGAATGTTCCTTCAAGCACATATGCTGATTCTATAAAAATCTTACGTTGCAAATAAACAATATCCTGTAACTATTCACAACTTTGACAACTTTTTTTTTAAAGCAGTAAAACCCTAAGACTGAGAAGAGTATTACAGAACAAATAAAGTAAATGTTATGACTTAACAAACCTCATCTATAACTGCATCTGTATCAAACGCTACACTGCTTCTGATACACGTGCAGCATTACGAGTAATTGATTATTGTTCCTATGTAGATGCAAAACTTGAATTAATCCAAATCCTTGAAACCATTTTCTGCATGATAACAAAACTCAGATGCAAAATGAACAATTATGATAAAATACATTTACATAAATAGGCCCACTAAGAAATTGTGAAATGTGAAAATGCATAGAGGGATAAAACTCTTGAGCATCTCAAAAAAAGACAAGTAATTTTTTTCTAAATGTTTGCTTTACTTATGTTTATTAGACACCTGCTCCTAATGCACGTTAAGTTTATTATGTTCTACTTCCCTAATTCATATATTTGAAAATTTAAATACAAAATGGATCAAATACATATTCTGCTACTTGTTTATCTTATATTTCTCTATTACACAGAGCAATGACAGTATGTTTTGGGTTTTCATAATCTGTCAGCTCTAAGTGAGTTTCATTTATAAATGCTCATGAACCAGGAAGCTGCTGCATGGTTTGAATCACCAAATTAGTGATGGACTCTTTTTTTTTTTTAATAAATATTTCCTCTCTAAACAATTAAGTATATTTTCGTAATATCAAAATTCTCAAAAATTCTCAAAAAATCTTAACAAAAACCATGTCCATTCTTTTTGTACATTTAATGCCAAGAGCAGTTTCCTATTTACAAGGATTTTCATCAGCAAAGCAGAGACCGAGAGAAACAGATGATAATTTTGTATTAAAAGATTCCTTCATTATAAAACCTATTCATTTAAAACACTATGCTTAACTAACCTTTTTTACAAGACATAGACTAATTAAAAACAAGATTAATGAAGCTGATGACACTCTTAGATCAGTGTATTAACACTGGCAAGGGGCTTAAGGAAGCTATTCTTAATAAGCATAATTGTTGATTGCAACTCTTTTGTTGTACCGAGTTACCTCATGGAAGCTAAAAGAAAACACTTTAAGAATGAAAAGAAAAGGGACCAAGTTTTGATCAAAAATTGTTGCAGGCATCACTATGATCGCACTGTTCAAAGAGCCTAAAGTCAAATACAAAACAAACTCAAGTGCTTTCCACGTAAAAGCTGTCAAGAGATTTGCTGGGAAGAATTTCAACACGCTTCTTCTACAGGATGAGATACTCATTAAGAAGAAAAAAATCATCACTAGTGTAGGAAATAATTTTGGAGAAGTTTGGAACATCATTTTTTTCCTTTAGAAATTAGCACTCTGGAGTTCAGTAAGAATTTCTCCCATGTTAACTGAAATTAATGATACACGGAGCAATCTCTTTGGAAGAAACAAGGCCACAAAGCACTTAATAGAACAGGAAGAAGAAAGGCCCATAGGAGTTTTTGCCTTTAACAAGACCAAATCACTATCCAACAGACTATTCCGGTATTTGAAGTCCAAATGAAAATTGCAAAGACTTTCAGTGAGATAAGTTAACTACTACTCATTTAGATTTGAGTATTGTTCACATCAACATATTACTATGATAAATGTAGCAGTACTAAATAATTATTTTTGTTTACTTGCAATAATAGCTTGCATCTCAAAATAAACATAGTAGTGAGATTTTCACTCTATATAAATAGAACTGATGTTATAAATGGTTGCAAAGGAAAGAAAAAGACAGGAAGGAAAAACTGCGTTTTCCTCCTGTGTAGGAAAAAATTTTACATGCTAAGGTTAAATGCTTTAGTGTACATGTGCAAAAATGATATATACTTCCAGTATTCTTAGGCACGATGAGCAACTTACTAAAATATCTGAGTTTTCAGATAGCTAAACACATATTTGCTTTATCATAATAAACCAATTTAGGCAACATACATCACTGCTTAGTCTGTGCACCATCTGTAGGTAGTCTTCATTTGAGCCATGTCTAGAATTATCAGCATGATGATTAGCTGAATTGCCAGACAACTGACTTGAAACTTTATTTTCATGGAGGTTTCTCATCCCACCTGAGACAATGGGACTGGATACTGAAGCTGAAATAAGAAAAATGTGAATAGTTATACTAATACACACATACACATTCTAACTCCAAAAGGTCTTACAGAAAACAACTTAATAGCAGATATTAATGAGATGGCTGCAAGAGATGGAGAATCTGAGCAAGTACCCACATTCCTCAACTAATTTTTCTTAGCACAAATACCTTGAATTAAACCAGCTAAGGCTTTAACTTTTAAAATCTGAATTCCACATATAGGTTAACAAAGCTTCTCTCCTCAGATACTGTAATTACAGTCTTTATCACATTTTTACAGGTTCTAGAATTTTTTTTCTTCAAGATAAATTGCACTGACTTATCTTGATACATGAAACTTTTGAGATATGCATATGAAACATAAGATCAAATACAGAACATACTTTTTTTCTTAGAAAACTGCTAAGCTTTAAGAACAGATGATTTAGAAGAATCCAGTGAGTTTTACCTAACAAAGGAATATGCCTAGAGTTCCTAGATACTTTAACAATGTTCATGTTGTTCAAAATTGTTTCAAAAAAGAACAAGAAATCTATTCATTCTGAAGGTCATCTTTGGCAGTTACTACATGCTTAGAGTCTATTTCTTGCCAATTTAGAACTGGTCTAGTCTACACTACAAAGGCTGTGTAAATCTAAATGAGCTGGCAGCAGACCTGTCACTTACATGAGTGAAAACAAGTTAAGTGACAGCCATAGTTTGCTTTGCTTTTCTTGTTATATGTAACTATAGGAAACAAGTGTAAAGAGAAGAGCAATAGCAATCTTCTCCCTCTTTTTTAAATCAGTACAGTCAGGTAAGCAAAATTTAAACATGCCAAAAAGTTCTAGCACCTCAATATTTTGCATTAAGCATATGGTTCCTCCATGGAAACTAAAGAGCTGTGAAATAGGCACATTAAGATAAAGTTGCATGTGACAGGAGGAAGAAAATAAACAAAAATATAGCGCAGACCTACCTTGCTGCATCTGAGGATGTGGCGTGTAACTGGGAGGATGTGAATATGGCATGTATCCTGCGGGGCTTTGAGGAGCATATGGACTAGGCACTGGACTGTTCTGTTGTGCCAAAAATCTGTTGCCAGAGCTTGTCTGTGGTGGCACAAACCGGCTAAAGATAAATCAAAAGAAAACATTTTCAAAAGTTGGAAGAGACATTTATTATTCCTTTTGAAACACCAAACCTTCAGAACATTGTAACTTTTGGAAGAGGTGAAGTATTCCAAGGTAACTGGAAAACCCCTTCAAAAGCAACATTTCTCGTTAATTATCTATACCATCCCAAAGTCCATTATTACTGAAGAGCTACACTCCAAATGCTGCATTAGTCAAGGTAAAGGAGAGAACAGAAAACATTCAACAGACCTGCACTGATATAAGGAAACACTAGCAGCAGTTCTAAACATTTAATCAAATATGCGATTTCCAAAGACATTCGCAGCTTATTAAAAGCTTATATGACCTGCCTGCTAGCGTTAAAAATGAGTCAGCTATTTAAACTGCAAATATTACAGTAAGTTTTCAAAGAACTTTCAAAGAATTTAACAGAACTATTCTGCCAAGACATAAGAAGGTGATAGGCAGGTAGAATTTGACCCAGTCTGCTGAATACATTTCTACTGTTGGCCAAGGGATGGATGCAAGAGATGGGAAGACATAAAAATAAAACTGGTTCTGACAACAATCTGTGTAGTCTACAACTTGCATTCTTTCTTGTATGAGCTTTTAAAAATAAATAGGCAGTATGCTAGAAGTTGTTTACAAAAAAAAAAAGATGCATTTAATACAAGGATTTTCCAAAGATTTTTGAGAATGTAATGTAATAAGCAATAATTAGGTTTGTCATGTAATAATCAAAAACTATGGAACTTTCTTCACTACCATTTTTAGATAAAACGGCAAAAATAAAGACAGAGCGATCTAAACCATTGCATTTGGCAGAATAATTGCATTAAGTGAAATGTGAAATAAAATAGTTTATTTTAACAATTTTATCTAGTAACTGCAGATGGACTCTGTTACAGATCCATAGCTAAGCTGGAACTGCAGGCAAAGCTCTTTCCTTTACCCCAGCACACCCGAACAGCTCTTATTAGCAAATGCCCATTTTATAGGTACTGTCTGACACTCAGAGGTTGGAAATGAACTAGAAAGTTGAAAAGGAAGCAAACCAAAATTGGTGGTCATGGTTGAATTTGCAATTCACGTCCCTTCCCACCAACCCCACTTAAATCCCGGTGTTACCTGGAAGGGCTGTGTGAGATAGTGGTTTGTTGGTAACTGGAAGATGCAGGACTCCCACGCATGGAATTCTGAGAGAGGTTGAACTGCGACATCATTATCCCTGGTAAGAGGAGAGAGCACTATGACTTCATATGCACTCCCTTTTCAATCTATAAAGTCTTTCATAAATGATTGCATTTGAAGTAATTATTAAATTTACACACATATCAACATTTTCTTCCAACAACTCTTAGAAAACCTTTAAAAAAATCCATCCCATGCAAGATGCCCATTTTACACTATGATATATTCATAAACAAATATACAATGAAAAAAAAAAAACACATTATGTTCCCTAAAGAGGTGATAATTTGCTGTAAATTTCAAGAGTAACTGTAACTCCTTCCTTTGTTCCTTAATGTTCCAATCCAAAACCTGTTTGTAAAAACAAAGATTCTATAGCAGGACATATATGCTGGATGTATACCCAGAGTGGTGTGTACAGCAGTGCATGCAATACTCATCATACCAATAGGTACATAATATACATAATGCATAGCACATAATACCAATAAGTAAAAGATTTAGGAACATCACAGCAATTCAGGCAAGAAAACCCTCTAAACAGTGATCTCAGAGAGGTGCAAGATGCTCTCGCAGATCCTGGCATCCCTTAGCAATCCCTCCCATGCAGGGACAAACATCTTCCAATTCCACCTCTGCTAGTAAGCAGTGCTACTTTGGAAGCTGCCAGAATATTTGAAGTTGCAAAGCTGAATCAATATTCCATCCATAGACTACATTCACAGCCATGATTTGGAGTTTCTGAAACCACACTACATTTAAGTACATAACCACTTGAAACTAACTCACATCTTCATTACGGATAATTTTAAAGAATCTTCTTTCTTTTAGATACCAGTATAAAAAAAAATCTCTTAACAACGAGGCAGCAATAAAAGCTTAAATGGTGCTGGTGCACAGAAACTTGAAAAACTTTTAACTGGGTGATTTTAATAACAGGTGCCTAAAACAGTGTCAGGCTTTAGCTGCAAACCTTTAGGCTCAGGAAGTCATACTGAGTGATCCACATCCATGTCTAAAACCACATCACTGTCAAAAATATTTTATACCAGAAGTTTGAGAGAAGGCCGAGAGCAGCCCACAATTCAGAGTGTTTGGGAGCCAATCCTTCAATTACTACTGCCCATTTCAAAGACTACAACATTTACACAAGCAAATAGTGTTTCAGAAACCCTCCCTCTCACCCTCTTTCCTCTTTTCCGAGTGGAGGAGAGCTGGGCTAATCCCTGGGAACAAGGGAGGTGTGAAGGACCTCATTCCTGGCACATTATCCCACCCAAAAGCTGAGAACAGGAGCAAAGGTCTCTGGTTATGAAGAAATCTGTACTTCTACACTCCAATACAGAGGTTCTTTCATTGCTTTTGAGTAAGAGCAGAGGGATTCTCCCTCCTGCAAGGTTTGCTTAAACAGACACTGGATGCCTTGCACAGAGGCCAGGCAGGAGGAACTCCATTTGGCAGGTACAAACACTACACTTGCATACTATACTACACATCTTGGGGATATTCCCACCAGGGTATAACATATTTGCCAGCTGGAATTTTAGTCAAACTACTAATCCTTAAAATTCATGTACAGAAAGATAACAAAACATGCTCATATTAAAGCTACATAGGTCCTGTTAAGACAGAGTTTCACTTCAGACTTAAAGCAGTGCTTGCACATTGGGTACACATCAAAGACACTTTTATCTACCTCGGTTTTCCCCATTTACAGCACTCCTCAAAACATGCATGCAGTACCTGTTTGGTTTAAGAAGGACAGAAAATCCGCTTGATTATGTAATTCAAAAAAAAAAACTTAACTTGGGTACAGCTAATTTTCTTGTCTTTTTTCTTTGCCTTTTTTTTTTTTTTTTTTTGGGCAATCTAGATAACTTCAAAAGTCTCTCCAGAGTTTCCAGACAGAGAACAAGTCTGCCATGAAACGACAAAGGAGAAAAATATGCCCCCAAAATTTAGTCACAGCTTGACTGTGGCTATGAATATTAAAATATTTTATTTGTATATTTTACATGGTTGCCATATCACAACAGCACAGATTTACAAATTCTCTGTACATATCTATACTTTAGATATTCAAGAATTTTAACTGCAACTTTAATTCTGAATGATGGCAATGTTAAGTTTGAAGAAAACATCATCCCAGTAACAACATTCCAAAAATATTTTTCCCTAATAGATCTTGACTATGATTTCTTGTTTTTTTTTGGGGGGGGGGGCGGTGAAGAAAAGCAATATATTAATTCTCTTTTAGCATTCCTAATAAATGTAAAAAAAAGGTACTGTGTAAAAACACAGCTCAAGATTGCAGATAGCACCTTGTACGGTTAAACTTTACTTCAGTTTCACACCTGTTGAAGTCGAGACAGCAGAACAGGTAATTCTTTTAATTAAATAGATACTTTTTCTGAAAGTGCATGTCTGAAATGTTTTTCCCCATTTACAGGCACACATGCACTTGTACTCTGTAAAAATGGAAAAAATAATCTAAGTAATTCACATCCACAGAAAGATATATTCTTTAATCCAGGAAAATGTACAAGTTGTCAGAGACTTTCAAGTGAATTTTAGGTCCTTTCCGTACCACATTTTATGAACGCTAACCTATCACAACACATTATCTAGCTTTTCTTTCTAAACAAATCTCCTGAAAGAAAGGGACAAAGTGTTGAGCTGGAAGAGGGAACAAGCTATTTTGAAAACTAAAACTGTCTAAAACCTTAATTTAGATAACTTGAATTTTTAAAAATCCAAGTCACTCATGCGTTCCAAGAATCAAGACAGATGTAGCTACAAATCGACATTCAGAACTTCCCCTGTCATCTGATGAAAAAGGTCTAAGACAAAATTGATGTGTTGCCCTTTATACAAAGTCAGGCCAGATGCTGCATGATGTGATTCGGTCTATTCAGACAGGCTGAAAATAGAAAACAGCCTATACTGAACATTCAAGAAAGTTTTAAGTGTGATCTCTTTGAGTTCTCTAAAACTCTGTGTTATTGCAGCATCACTCTTAAAAGTTTCATATTGAAATATCACATATAACTCTTTACTAATATCTTCCTTCTGAAGCACATTTGCTAAAAATATAGTCACTCATATTTCATCAGGAATTATTCTTAACTATTGAATCAGGCTACAAAAGCCTTTCCCCCCCAGTAAAATCCAGAAAACAAATCTCTCTCCTCTGCATTGGCCCAAGCTATTTCATTCCACCCAACTGCTGGAAAACCCCAACTCCCGTCTCATTTTCTTTGTGGGACCTCCATGCAAAATGGCAACACAGTCCCAGCTTTCCCACAGCTGGGAAAATACTATTTTATCACTGCTCAGCATCAAATTAATCAAACACAGAATCCAACGCTTCAAAGCAGATCAATAATGTTCTAAGTATTTACCAATGCCCTGAAAATCTTCATCCAAGAAAACATCTGCACCCTGCAGAGGAACAGTACGTGCTCTGTCCTAAACAAGTTCTATTCAAGTATCACATGGCCTTTTACTCACTCCAGCAAAAAAAACAACTACACCTAAAAACAGAATTAGCTGAAGAAACATTAACTTCTGTAGGGCTTCACAAGCTGCTGAGAAAAGCAATGGCAGGGAGGAGCTGTTGAACATAGCACATTCAGCCTGATTCCTTGTTCCAATGCTATTAAGAATGACCTCTACTACAAGACAGTACAAGTGCAACGATTTTCTGTAAGATCAAGTCGTACTTTTTCAACCTACGAGTGTTTATTAAGACAAATATGGAAACCTACCCATAAAGAAATTCAAATAAAGTGAATGAAAAATGAAATTCAACCAATCCTTCTCCTACAAAATAGCACTCTTGGCAATAGTAAACATTATTTTTACTAAATACCCAGTGGAGTTCATTTCCATACTTACTCTAACAAAATCACTCCTAGAAGACATTAAGATAGATGGCTTGATTTTATTAAAAAATGCAAGCTAAGTCATAATCACCACATATCTGTTCCATATATATTTCTGGTTAGGTTTAGTCCCCTAAACTTAAAGAACAACATTAAATGCAATCATTAAAAAAGAAAATGCATTCTTACCGCTTTGTACTCCATATCTGTTTTGCATGCTTTTCTCCCTGAAAACATTTGGATTCCTTGCCAGAATAGCCTGCAGCAGGACTGGTATATCTCCCTCTGGATCATCACTGCCAAGGTTATCTTTCAGTTCTCTGGAATTGTGGAAGTAAACAAAAACAAATGCATTTTCAAGCTATAAGAATCTACAGGTCAAGTAAAAAGCAAAACAAAATAAAACCCTATTCACTATTAAAGGGAAAGGGAAAGGGAAAGGGAAAGGGAAAGGGAAAGGGAAAGGGAAAAAAGGAAAGGGAAAGGAAAGGGAAAGGAAAGGGAAAGGAAAGGGAAAGGAAAGGGAAAGGAAAGGGAAAGGAAAGGGAAAGGAAAGGGAAAGGAAAGGGAAAGGAAAGGGAAAGGAAAGGGAAAGGAAAGGGAAAGGAAAGGGAAAGGAAAGGGAAAGGAAAGGGAAAGGAAAGGGAAAGGAAAGGGAAAGGAAAGGGAAAGGAAAGGGAAAGGAAAGGGAAAGGAAAGGGAAAGGAAAGGGAAAGGAAAGGGAAAGGAAAGGGAAAGGAAAGGGAAAGGAAAGGGAAAGGAAAGGGAAAGGAAAGGGAAAGGAAAGGGAAAGGAAAGGGAAAGGAAAGGGAAAGGAAAGGGAAAGGAAAGGGAAAGGAAAGGGAAAGGAAAGGGAAAGGAAAGGGAAAGGAAAGGGAAAGGAAAGGGAAAGGAAAGGGAAAGGAAAGGGAAAGGAAAGGGAAAGGAAAGGGAAAGGAAAGGGAAAGGAAAGGGAAAGGAAAGGGAAAGGAAAGGGAAAGGAAAGGGAAAGGAAAGGGAAAGGAAAGGGAAAGGAAAGGGAAAGGAAAGGGAAAGGAAAGGGAAAGGAAAGGGAAAGGAAAGGGAAAGGAAAGGGAAAGGAAAGGGAAAGGAAAGGGAAAGGAAAGGGAAAGGAAAGGGAAAGGGAAAGGAAAGGGAAAGGAAAGGGAAAGGAAAGGGAAAGGAAAGGGAAAGGAAAGGGAAAGGAAAGGGAAAGGAAAGGGAAAGGGAAAGGGAAAGGGAAAGGGAAAGGGAAAGGGAAAGGGAAAGGAAAAGGAAAGGGAAAGGAAAAGGAAACACAAGTCTGCAAAGGACTGCTCTCTGCCTCTATTTTAATTTCATTTCCCCTGGCCTTTAATTAAGTCCTGGAGGAAGAGGTATTTCTGCTAGTCTTCAAAATTATTTTCTGTTAATAAGCCTTATATACACATATACATGGTTGTCACTTCCTGACATTACAAAGTTTCTTATGCCTGCTTCTGCATCTTGATCTTCTCCACTAAAGAAAAACATTTTGGCATAGCATCTGAGAAAATTCTATGGCAGGAATGAAATTAAGAAATAAGATCTGCATTAATTTATTGCACTCATGTTGCAGTCAACACTTTGCATATACTGTTTTCTAAAACAGAAACTACCACGTCTGTGATTCATAGGATTCCTTCTGAGCAACAAAAAAAGTCATAAATTTTCTTTAAATGCCTCTATTTTCTTTTATTATTTGTTCTGACAACTTTTAGAAATGAATTCAGTTTAATCAAAACAACTGATTGGGAAATGTAGAAAAAGAGCTGTCAAGACAAGCCAATTTAATGAACTGCACAGACAAAAGGAAAAATAAGATACATATTTAAAAGACAGAGGATATACTAGCACACTTGCTATTTCAATTCTTAAAATATTTACGCTCAAGATCTAACAAGAATTGCCAGCAGTCTCAAAAAAAAAATTCTTTGTGCAACTTAGGCATATAACTCTCTATCTCTCTATTTGTTCATATGCACTATTAACCAAACTGGAACACAAGTGATTATTGCACAAACAAAAATTTAAGTATGTCCTCACAACTAACAGGTAGGTAAAAAGCAGCAGATATTTAAAAGTAAAAAAATAAATCCACTCAAACAAATTAAAAAACCTAAATACAAAACCAAAGTAAAAACAGTTATACATAGGCTGCAAGACATTTAATAACACTGTGATTTACAGAAATAATTAACTTCTATACAGTGGTACTCTGCTAAACAAACCTAACCAGAAAAAAAAAAAAAAGTGTTCTTATTTTCAGATTTTAATCAAAATCCTTCTCAAGGAACAAAAAGGCTGTTTCTGATACAGAAGCTGAAGTTCAAAATACATACATGTGGTCTGTTGACACCTGATTGAGACTGTGTACAAGCTGAGAGACCAGATTTTCATCCCTGCAAGCCAGAAGGCAGTTCACCTCCTCTGCTATCCGTCCATTGAAAAGCAGGCTTTTTGTTGTTGTAGCAGGTAAAGGTGATGGAAGAGGCAGCTGGTTCAAAACTGTTACCAGAAGATGGAAAGAGGTTCAGAATCATTTTACTGAACACAAACATACAAAAGATGATTAAGAAAACCTAACAACTACATTTGAATTGTAGGGATGTTTTTGTATCACATACACACCCTGTGGACCCAGTGTTTTGAAAAAAAAATAATGTAGACAAGTCCTCAAACTATATTGCTTAAATATTTAAATGTGCTAAGGTAAGTACTATGAATAAAAATACATTTTTATGTTGTATGTATATTTTAACTATCCAGAGATGTTAACATATTAAGTATGTTAAGACACTCTTCTCTTGTAACTCAAAGTATTCAATGAAAGATTTATACGCACATACGTATGCAGCAGCATCTTTCAATCTTACATTTATATTAGAAAAAAAATCTAGGCACATTTTTCTTTGAATACATCTGATTTTTCTTTTTTTTTTTTTTTTCTATAGACAATTAAATTCAGTTGTTAGGTATCTCTGCAGTGTCGCTTGGAACCTCTATCCAAATTTCAACAATACGATAATAAAAACGAGCTTAGAAGCACCATCTTGGTCATGGAGTCCACTTATTCACTACCAAAGAAAACTGAGTTTTTCTCTTTCCCACACTTCCTAAGCAAGATGCATCTTTGTCTTTGCTTCCCTTATTGGAATGGTTGTTCTTAAACCTCACTACAGTAATTCTCCGACAAGTTCCCACCATAAGTTTATTTTGGGTAAGATTACAATCATTTTTTTGCGCCAATATCATCCTTTAATATAAATAGCTCCTTTCTTTTCCTTGCATTTTGTCTGGGCTGAAGAGCCCAGAAAAACTTCATGAACTTCTTATCCCCACTCTACTAGCCCTTCTTTGCACTCATTCCTGTTAACTAGAGGTACTTTTTTTTTGTATCTTGATTTATATCCTGAGCTAATGAAACAGGCTTCAAGCATCTTCGGCCTATTCTTTTTGGCTGAATGTCCATCTAATCTCTCTCTTTAGTGAAGATGAGATGTATGCTTTAAAGATACATTTTTAAATCATTTCTATGTTTTCTCATTTGTGAAATACTCAGATGTGTTATTAAAAGATATGTAAAAAAAAAGATAAAAAGAATAAATTCCCGCTTACTTAATCCTTTTTCTCCCCCCTAGATTTCATTTCAGGTTATGATTAGTGTAGTTTGCTTGGAACACTTTATAAAAATTCAAGCAATGGCAGAATTTACATTTTTATCACCACATCTAATTTTGAGCAGATTTGCTTTAAGAAGCAACCTCTAAAATAAAAATATTTTTAATATTTGAAAACACAGATATTTATACAAAATGTAGAAAACAGTATAGCAAAGAGCAGGGAAAAAAGAAAGAGCACTTACGATCTGTAAGACTAGCAATCCCTGCAAGAGTAGTGATGGGAACATGAGGCATATCCCCATTCATCCTGAAGTTCTGCGGTGGTAGTGCCTACACAGATAGTTTAGTTTAGGTGCCAGCTATCATTACTTCCCATCTCCCAAGCACTAGAAAAAAAACACACAGAAAAACAACTCTCAGTTACGATGATAACTTTAAGTTCAACACCAAAGATGAAATGCAGACCATAACTTTCACCACGTACTAAGGTAATTTTTTCAGGAATAGGTAGAATAATCTAACACTTACATATTCAAACAGCATTAAGTAATCAATATATCAGTGCCTAGTATCACAGCAGATCAATAAAAGATGCAAGATGCAAGATGATGGGTAGCAAAAATCTTCTTGGTTCGTGCTCCAGCAAGGCAGCACTTTCTCCACAATCAGGGTAAGCTTTATTGATCTGGTATACTCACTTTCCAATTTTGAAGAAAGCGGTATTTTTCATACAAAGAAGAGGTAGCAAATCTAAAAGGGCTAATAGGGAACCCACTACCCAAGGAAAAGACAAAGTGATAAATACAGAGCCTAAGTATATTTTAAAAAAGGTGTTTCTTCCAAAATTAACCTGAGAATCTCTCATTAACATTAAACACAATCTGGTAAAACAACTTCCATGAATCACCACAAAAAGAAGAGGTTTAGTCACCACTGGACTAGCTTATATATTTCCCGTAAAACAGTGAGACTTATACACAACTATTGAAAACTATTTGCCCACTCGCTTTTCATTAACTGTAGTAATTTCAACTGCAGTTTCCCAAACTATAAAAATCCAGTATAGTTACTCTAATGATGGACAAAATCTGAGCTTGAAGGCATACAAAACATACTTCATATACTTCTACCTAATTTAGACAGACAGCTATTTTAATAGTTTGGGAAACAGTAAAAAGAGATTTTCTGTGAGCATTTATGTTGTCTACCAAAGACGCTGAAATCATGACTTGTTTATACTTACTTTACTAACCAGCATTTCTGTGAACAGAACACGTACAAACCAAAAGATCACTGGATCACTGTCACTTCCTATGAGAATCACCTACTTATGCAAAATAAAATCATAGGAAATACATAGGAAATTTCTGCCAATAAGCTTGTAGGGATTCAAGCTAGAAAAGGAAATTGAATAGGCCTTTTTTTCCCACTACCGAATTTCAGAAGTTCATGAAAATTTTAACTTTTTGACATTTCCCTATCTAAGCACAACTGCAATCTTTGAAAAATCCACCCCCTGTGGAGGTTGAACAGAACTGACAGAGCTGACTTCCTTTGCTGCACCTGCCAGAGTTTCAGTCTTACCGCTATATTCTATTTGTTTATTAAAAATACAGCATGCTGCAGGTGCTGCAATTTAGTTAAGGGAACGGCTGCAGATAGAGATATCATGTGGTTTCTCCTTTATCCAGGAGAAAGCAACCTTCAAACATCTCGAGCAGTCTCAAACACTGCTTGAGGAGCTATACCTGAAACAGTCACCAATATACACAGAATTTAAGTGGTTTCTCAGGTCCAAAAATAAACAATCCTTAAGAAAAAACAAAACTAACTTCCCACAATGAGTCTGCACCAGCATCCCACAAGGATTAACACTCCTTTCAGAATTCCAGTAGTTAGAGAGTGCTTTTCATATAGAAATTGTGTGTGTGCAACAGAAAGCTCTTATCTGATGATATCTCTTTTCACGATGTCTCTTCTCCTAACTGCAGTTGTACCAAAACTGACTCAAGTCACAGCAGGAGTCAGTATTACTGGAAACCGTGCGGGCAACACTAAAATAAGAGGGGAGAAAAAAAAAAAAAAAAAAGAGATCAATTTTACTCCCTGATAGCCGGGGGGAAGCTACAGGCATCAGGAGCAGTCCTTATCAGTGTAAATTTTTTTTTTGGACTTGCCACTGCAGTACTGAAATTATATAGATATTCAGTGGAAGAAATCCTTAAAAAAATATTAATTAGAAACCATCTTCACAGATATATGATAGGAAAGCAGAACTGCCACAGTTCTATGCTTTCCACCTTCCAAAAAGAATATGTGAGGCTGGAGCAGGTGTCAAGAGCGAGGATGCCAGGGATACTGAGGAAGAGACTAGAAAGATCAGGCTTTGCTCAGCTAACAAAACTAAGGGTAAGAGGAAAACCAGTTCCTCTCCCTAAGGCAGTCAAAGAAGGTTAGAAAGGAAGAAAACTGAAAGACAGGGCAGACCCTACACTGAATGGGACACAAATACTTGCAAGTGGAAAATCTGAACCGAGTTTCTTAGAGCCATCTGGAGCGGCTTTCTGTGCTAAGCCCTAGCAGAGATAAGCAACGTCATTACTTTAAAGAAGGATCATGGAGATGTTATGGAAGGGACAGATGTGGTTACCTGCTCCAAAAGGAACCACGTGTGACGATTCATTAAGTCTCTTAGAGTACTGCGCTTTTCTAGGATGATGTGAGTGAATAGATGAGATTAGACAAAAGAGAGAGACTGATGGGATTAAGTGACAGGGTTAGTTTATGCAATGAACAAAATATAAAAAGAATAAAAAATCCATGCACACAGCAGTATTTCAACGCAAGTATTACATCTGTTGGGCATTGAGCAAATGTAACTTGGAAAAACTGAGGGATTCTATCCCAGAAAAAGATACTGGGGTCTCATGAAACTAGAACTAGAACTTGATGTCACTGAGAACACTACTAAAATCACTTACTGAGCAAATTCAAAATGTCAAGAAGTTAGGGAAGGAAGGAGGAAAAAAGGTTTGATGCAATCAGGTTCACTGCGGGACAAGTAGAGCAGTAGCTGGCAATAGCTTAACTGCTGGGTAACACGGGCTTTTTCCCTCCTCCTGCTTTAACATTTGTTTACAAATTTGTTGCATGCAGCAATTGCCTACAATTAACTCCAGAGAATAAACATTTCTCAATATTAAAAAAAAAAAATCACCTTTCTACAGGAGCTATTACTGAGCGTAAATCATTTCAACTTTCAGCTTTTAAAAAGCAAGATGCAAATTATCAGGAGCTAAGGAAATTAAAGCACTGCAAAGCTGCTGAGGAAGGCAGAGGCAGCAGGAACCCACATCCTCCACCCTCAGCACTGCCCCACTGAGCACCCTGCTCTCCTACCAGCGATGGACAGGGTAGCAGGGATCTGGGGGAGGAGGAAGTCACGGAGCACAAGTGATACAGATACAAAGAATTGCACAGTGAAAGGAAAACAGTGAAAGGGAAGCATATGTTCATATACAGAAAGCTATGATCATCCTACACAACAAAAAGGTGAAGTCAGGCCAAGATGTGAATGAATGTAACATTAAAAACATTGAAGTTTACACTAGACAAGGTACTGTGTAGTATCCCTGGCAAACTGCAGTGACAACACACCTGCCTTTTCCTGCAGTTTTACTTCACAAGAACCATGTTCCAAAGAGTTCTCAAGTGCTGGAAGACCATTTTAAGAGAAAAATGCTGGACAAACTAAAAATAGAATAAGCTCTGCTATCAGAGTTCCTAAAATTGCATGCAACACCCACACTGTGTTGGATATTGTACTACCATACTAAAGGGACCACATTAAAGAACTTAATGTGCTGTAGTGACAGGAAGTCACTATAAGATAAGGTTATAGTAGACACACAAAATAATTCATGTATGCTAAAGGTAGTTGCAAAGAGGGAAGGAATAAACTGCTGCTTATATACACTGCAGATAGAAAAGGGTAGAAATGGGCTTCAATTTCTACAAGACAGATAACCCAGCTAAAATTATGTTCTCTACAGAAACACTTGTTAGTAGTTCAGCAAAGCCAATCCTGCAGGGACTGGACAATTCGGAAATGCCTTTGAATCCTGTTCTCAGCTCACTTCCAACTTTAGTATTTTTCATTCAGTATTTTAAACTAAAAACCTTCCCATCACTAACCTCACTTTTTATTCCACTTAGGAACCACTGCTCCTAATATAGCTTATGTACAGCCTGTTACGTTCACTCTGCTGGTGAACAGAGCACCTTGGTTATGAAAAACACAGAAAATGCAGAGTTACTGAATGCCTTTCTTGCTTCGGTGTTTACCAAGGGCAGCCCTTTAGAGTCCCGGGCCCTAGGGACAAGAGAAGAAGCCTGGAGAGAGGAAGACTTGCCCTGGGTAGAGGAAGATTGGGTCAGAGAGCACCTAAGGAAACTCGATACCCACAAATCCATGGGCCCTGATGGGATGCACCCCAGAGTGCTGCGGGAGCGGGCAGATGCCATAGCTAAGCCGCTCTCCATCATCTTTGAAAGATCCTGGAGAACGGGGGAGGCGCCGGAAGACTGGAAGAAGGCCAATGTCACGCCAGTCTTCAAAAAAGGCAAGAAGGAGGACCCAGCCA